AGTAGTAGTCGCGCATGCGCGAAGTCTTTAATTTAATATAAAATAAGATATTAATATAAAATAAATATAAGAATTTAATATAAAATATCTTAATTTAATCTAAACAAACATATTTCTAAATAAAATGTAATAATAATTATTTTATGGAATTCACAAATCTTCAATTTACGCAATATTTAGTTTGTATGGATTGCACTACAGTTCAGTTGAACATAGTCAATGTTCGGAATGGCTTCTCTAGTACGTAGTACATATAACTCAATGGGCACAATACAGTTTTTTTTTTCTCTATTTTTACCAAAGAGAACTTTAAAATTCTGATTTTTACTGCGCAGTGGCGTGCAGACGAGAGCGCCGTTGTTTTTTTTTTTTTTTGGAGTTTATGGCCTGGTATCTAGACCTTTAGGCCAAGTCTTAAGTATTTTTATTCGGTTTATTGTAATTTCCCCACTCCTTCAAGGTATACTGCTTCACAATATGTTGATGCGTCACATTGTACAGTTCTTGGGAGATTTTGGCGGCAACTTGATCCAGCAGACAGCTGATAGTTGGCGATGGTATCTAAAGGTGCCTATGCAAACAAACAGCTTATCTTGAGAATCCATCACCATCAGAGCACTTGTTTCACTGTTTCCACTAATAGTTCACATGCGTAGACACTTAATACACAAAATCGCAACACTTTTACATATCAAAGTCCACTTCAAACCATTATTTAAACAATAATACAGGAGCAGCAAACCGCCACCGGTCAATTTCCCGCCAAAACTCCCAGAGCGCCGTTGTTGTTATGTTGTATGCACAGAGTACATTATATATTACAGGTTGTATGGGCGGGGGTGACACGTTATCGGCTAGTGAGCGCCCGCCCGCGTTTTTAAAAATATTCGTTCGGAAACACGTACTTTGATCGTTAATATCTCAGCCAAATTTTAAGATATGAAAAAAGTAAAAACACAGTTTTTCTCGTATTATTTTGTAGGTTTAAATGGCATGTAAAGTAAAAAACGTTTATCAGACCCATTACAATGTTTTTATTTGCTGTTAGTAGATAAGCCCACTAAAGTTTATAACTTTGTGTATTTCTAGCTGCTCACTCTCTGAGTGATCACAACTATGGCTTACATCTAGCTGTATTAGAAGATTCAACTGATTTCACTAATAATACCATAATCGACTGTGAGTGCGAATAACATTATTTTTCCTAATTGTAGAAGTAATTTCCGTTTTCTTATTAACATTACTTGAAATTATCGCTTTCAGTGCTTAATAATTAATTTTCGACTGCTAAAATAGATTCTTAATTTATTTAATCTTTTTTCAGCACAAGACCACATTAGTGATCATAATTATGTTTTGAAATGTAATGTTGAAAAGGGGCCGCCAATTGAAGAATCCACAAAATCTAAAACTGATGGTAGGTAACAATAATTGTGTATTAAATTTTATATATTCATTAATACTTTTAAATAATAATAAAACGTCATTATCAGTAATACCGTTTACAACCACTAGACCAATGACGCAGTCAATGTCCCATAGTATAAAACATGTTTTACAATACGTTTTAGAAACCAAATTGATTTGTCTATGTAACACACACAAAGTTGCAAAAGAAAGCTTATGTGATGGTTTTTAATTACCAATTTATTCTATTCTGTTTTTAGGACACACATGTACTACTTATATGCTACAAATAAAAGAACCTGCAGAAATTGTGGCAAACTTCTCTATATCATTATCAAAGCAGAATAAAGAGGTATTTTATATCTTTTATTTCCTTTTTTAAATATATTTTTATTATCGCCTCAAGATCGAATTTCAGTTATAGTGGCTAATCTCAGAAGCCATCTGTGCACGGTACAGGATTATAATGTATGAATATGTGCACAAACACAGATGTTCTATTCCTTCACTCTCATAGTCCGATCACAATCAGAGAGAGATCCGGCGCAAGACCAATAGTTTTACATCCTTGCAGAAGCGGGTTAAACGCAGCCACCTTCCTGACTCCGGGTTATTAATAGGAATTTCTTGACAGAAATACCAAACAATTCAATAAAACCAGGCACCTCATAATCAACAATTGCAAATAATTTAAATTGACAAAAAATTGACAATACTTTATGACATTTATTTTTCTACTAATTTCAGATGTGATTCGCAATGTTGAGCAAAATCGAAAAAGAAACGCACCTAAAGAATTAAAAGTGCAGGTATAGTATTTTGTAACACATTAGCGACCCGCCCCGGATTCGCACGGGTGCAATGTAGATACTAATTATACAATGCTAAAGGGCGTAACGCGGCCATCGACATAGGCACACGACATACCCTTTCCGACCGCTGCCAACCGGAACGAAACGTACAGCCCGCTTTTTAAATCTCTGATGTCTTTTTTATATTCCAATGTCCAATTTAATAAAATGCTATTAAGCACAGTTTTGATCTACATGAAATATACAACGCATGTAATGTATTTAATTGGATAAGGAATAATACTGTATTGTATAAAATAGCTTGGTAAATAAAACATTTTTTTTGTAATATGTAAAAGATAACAATGGTTACTGTGGGTTATCCCTAGGAGAAAGCCGTATGAGGAAGCTCAAGGTCGCTCAGCGAGCTATGGAGAGGGCTATGCTCAGAGTTTCTCTGCGTGATAAACTTAGAAATGAGGATATTCGCAGTAGAACCATAGTAAACGACATAGCCCAACGGATTAGTAAGCTGAAGTGGCAGTGGGCAGATATATAATTCCATAGTACATTAATTTAATCTATCTCGTAAGGTGTAGCCAGCGTTTGCGACTTATGTTAGTTACGATATCACGTTACATATCTTTGGATTTTTCGGCTTTTCTCTACTATAATATGTATTTTATACATGTAAACCTTTCTCTTAAATCACTCTATCTATTGCTGAAAATATCATTAAATTATGTTGAGTAGTTTAAAAAAACTAAGCTAACAGACGGCGAAAGCGACTTCATTTTATACTACGTAAAGATACCTCATAAGAGTTAGTTATATATACACCAACTAGCTTTGCCAGCGACTTCGGTCGCAAAGAATTTTTGTTAGTATTTTATCTACAGGCATCTTTCTGCCGATCGTGACATCTATGGCAAATAACCCTCACATTGGGAGAAGTGCATGTTTTTTAGTATACTTTTACAGGCTGATCATGAATAAGAAGAATAGTTCTAGTTATTTTTAGACCTATTTTGGTCGTAAAGTAATGCAAACTTTTGATCTGCTCCTGCAAGTTACGAACTGAATTGTGTAACTTTATATTATTCTTTTACAGCCAATAAACTGACCAGACTGCATATGAGAAGAATGAAAAATATTGCTGTCGAGGAAAATAAGCTTGAAAAGTCATTTTCAGAAATATTTCATGCTACTAAGAATCTAAACCATAACCTGTTATTTAATAAAAGTTTTGGCAAAATGACACAACATTCAAATCCAAATTCAATCCAAAGATTGAAAATAAATTATAAAATTTTAGATGTTGTTTTATTCTAATTTAAGACACAACATTTACATAAAACAGATATGTATTCGCTGAACTTTTCAAATAAGAATTTTATAATATTCCTAAGTATTAATAATCCTTGCATATCGACTTTTTACCTGTGCATCACTAAACAATCGATATCGGCACTCGAATATTTAGACCTAGTTTGCAACACTATACGACACTAGCGCTTTGCCAGTTCATTGGAACTAACCGGCAACTATAGAACTGTCCCATCAGGGTCACCATCTTTAAAATACAGATCCTGCCGTACTTTGGTTAAAAACCGCCAAATCCTGACAAGTCTGTAGTGAAAAATGCCTAAATACTGCCAACTTTATTTACCATTGCATTAAACTAAGAAAAGTAGAAATACACATATAACTGCTATATTTTTTTAAATTAAAATTAAACATATGTTTCGTTGGTTTGAACGCAATGCAATCGCCATGCTCACCAATGCCTTGTTTAATGTACAAGACCGACAGTAAATGTTTGTTTATATATCTATTTCGTGTTTTTGTCTTAATTAAATTTATTTGAGAGAATATTCTTTCGCATGTTGAATCCACTCATATTTTTTGATGTTTACTAGTAGCAGCATGTTCCTTTACAGCAGACAGCCAAATGGTAGTTACACTGTCTGGATCATCTTTAGCTTTGGAGATCCACGATGAAAGTAAAAGATCTTGCTCCCACTTCGCTCTATACGCCCTTTCATATTTTCGCTTCATCATCGCCTCCTATAATTACTATATTCCACGAAATATTATTAACAAGATATTTTTAGCATGAAATCTAATGCGATACCAAACTAAAGTACGTCTCTTTTATGACTGATTGAAATATTTACCAACTCGTGTTCATTCGTTTTAAGATTATCAACTTTATACACAATTTATTTTAATGTTGTTTATTGAATGTGATACAAAAATAATACGAGAAATACACGGAAATTCCCAACATGCTGGCGAAGTATCTAGGTTTGCCATTTTCGTCATTTTAAGTTGCCATAATGAAATCTATTTTTAACACCCCAATACTGCCAGGTTTTATAAAACGTCAACCGATCATGCCAGAGGCTAAAATAAGAGGCCAATCCTGCCAAAATGGCAGGAACCTGCCACATATGGTCACACTGTGTCCCATAGCTATATCTATGAACTGTCCATCAGTCTCTGACTAGTATACAGTTATCTGTGGTTGTGATTCTTTATCTATGACTTGGTATATGTTATTATTGTCTTTGAACATTTTTCTTATTTTTGATACTATTAATTTTTCGATTGAATATTCATAGCTTGAAATCATAGCAGAGCTCTGTGATTATAAATTGCGTACACATTACTATTTCTTCTGGCCACAAACTAGTAAGAAGTTCCACGCGTAGTGTTACAGTTCAACCAGCTGTCGTACGTAAACAAAGGGAATGTCAAGAGTAAAAGGGTGGTGAACCAAGTTCGTTGTGTTTTTCAATAATGGATGTGGACGGTTCAGCAATACCCGGGGAGATAGATCAAAACTTACTATTGCAATTCAGTTGTATGAATACAACTGATAGAGAAGAGCTCATAGTACAAATGCAAAGGTTGTTAGGCCCCAGTTTGAATTATAATACCGCAAGTTTTTTCTTAGATATGAGCAATTGGTAAACTTATTTTAATTATTTAGTTTGCATAACATGTTTTCTTATTTTAATTATGAGTTTTTTCCAGGAACTTACAAGCTGCAATCTGTTGTTATTTAGATTACAGTCTACCACCTAAACTTCCATCTATGTCATTAAAGGCATCTCAAAGTCAAGAAGCAGCTGTAACACCTGGTTCTTGGTAAGATTATGTGGTTTTGTTATTTAAAGTAGTATTAGTAGTAGTACTAGCTTGGTACCTAAAAATAATTAGGTAAAATTCAATTGGTCATGCATAGTAGTATTTTGGTAAAACTATAGACATCCGGTACTTGCGTACAGGGGTAGGGAGGGGGAGGGGAGGGTTCAGAGGAAGCCCTGGGTACCCTTCCCCCATTGTGGAAATGTATAGTTTATAAGTAATATTTTTTTTTTGTAAAATCATAACCTAACATTTTTACACTGGAATATTGACTTAAAGTTACTTCTGCAACGGTTTCGGCGCTGCGGGTAGTGCAGCCCCTTCGCCCTTGCGTAACAAATCGCAGGCATCCATGCTCATCTTCGCAGCTTCAGCTTATTGATTCTCTTCGGTGACCAGCCTCGGCCGCTACGGCTCACACAGGTGCCTGCGATTTGCTACAGTGGGCGGGGACTGCTCTTCCTCCACCCCTAAGGCTTTACAAAACCACTCTAGGGGTAGGGCAGACAAGACTACATAGAGTTGGGGTGTCCTGATTCAGTTTTAGTATAGTATCGACCTAACTCATCTATTTAATCAGGTTGCCCTAAACTCTGCTATGATAGTGGTAAATGAAACAATGTAATGTAAATTGTTTTCTAAAAAACCTCTGACTGCTCTCCCCTGTGACTCAATTCGTTGTATGAGTCCCATCTTCAGCCACAAATGGATTCTCTGGGTCTGAGTAATTAACTTTTTTTTTTTTTTTATAGTATGAGGGTGACAAACAAGCACACAGTCCACCTGATGGTAAGTGGTTGCTGCGGCCCATAGACATCTACATCTATCCTCTGTTACAAATCAAAATGTAGATGCGTTGTCACCCGTGAGGACTAAGATGGAATGCCTCATTTCCAGTAAAAAGGGCCTCCGGCCACCTGCACTCACCAAGCGAAACGCAGAGGTAAACCTCTACTTCACGCTGGTTTTCTGTGAGGTCGTGGTACTACCCCGGTTCGAGCCGGCCCATCCGTGCGACAGCAAAAGCGGCCGCGTGGCTCTACCACTGTTGATAACTTTATTATGGGTGGCTCGTTTCTTACTGTAATTAATTCAAAACACATTTCCATAATTCAAAAACAGTATCAAAAGGTTTAAGCTTAACCCTGACAAACCTCTAAATTGAAAACATACTTAAAATCATGTACCGTCCTACGCCTATTTCATAATACTAGACCAAATTGACATATTTGCATTTCGTTACATGCAATTTTTAGTGAAATTTATTTTTACTGTAATTCATTCAAAATGAATTTCCAACATCCAAAAATAGTGTAAAAGGTTTAAGCTTAACCCTAACAAACCTCCTAAACTGAAAACATAATTAAAATCAAGTACCGGACGTCTATAGCCAACCCAGTATTTTTAATTTAAAAAAATCCTAAATCCTTAACTCATATTAAAAATGTAATATTTTTGAATCTAAATTACATAAATTAAAAGAAAGACTGAATTAAAGAGTAATTTAAACGTAATAGTTTATGTTGATTGTATATGAGTATATAGTTGGCTATATTGAAATAGATCTAATTTATCTTGATTTTTTAAATTATAGAAAAGTATATTCAATGGAATCTAAATAGAAATGAAAATAATAAATGACCTTTATTCATTACTATATTCTTTTACTTTAAATAGGAATTTACAAAATGCTATATGATATATTTTAAATTTAATTTTTTTTAGCATTGAGTTATGGTAGAATAGTTTTAAAAATATATACTGATTAATAATGTGGCAATCACATATCAATAGTGTGGCAGTCATTTAGATTTGGCTGCTTTTTTCATCAGCATTTTTAATATAAAGCTAGTGTAATATATATTTTTTCATCATCAGTCTACAAAAGTCCACTGTTTGACATGGGTCTCCTCATTTTAGGTGGGATTTGCCTTAATTGTGACACTTGGCAAGTGGATTGATGATTGCAGTGTCCCTGTGATATTGCTGCCTGTCTCCAGATATACTGTGGATTTTTGAATTGAATTAAATAAACAGGCTGCTTTCCGCAACTCCACATCTATGCGCGTATTTTGCGTGTAGGCAGGAATAATGCATTTATTCGAACCATGAAATCTCCCCGAAGAAGTTCAACAGTCCTTTGATGTTGCAACCAACTACGGGAAGTGATCCCGGCATGCCGAGATGTTTAGCCCTGTATGCAGCGACTTCCGGACATGTCAACAACACGTGAGCCGTCATTTCTTCCCCCCCCCCCCCCCCCCCCCATACATGCCTTGCACAGGGGACTGTCCGTAGCACCTATGGTAAATAAATGTTTGTTGAAGTTGCCGTGTCCTGTGATAGCACTTGTTACTATGCTGATTTGCGGCTTGTTCAGTCTCATTAGAACCTTGGTTAAACGACTGTCTATTTCAGGCAGGGCCTCCCTAGCTTGTCTATAGTATACAAGATTTTTCCAAAGTTGAGCATGTTGATTAGTGTAGTGTCTACGTACTAGTGAACGAATGTTACCAAAGAGGATTGGTATGATTGGTTCCGGCCCTATAGTGGTCAGAGCCGATAGTATTCGGATGGAGAAGACATTAACCTTTCTAGCATCTATTGCTATGGCTCATGCATTCCGCCTGAAAGACTGTGTTGTAGGTACACAGCAGTGTGCATGTGTGGGTGAATGTTGAGGTCTTCAGAAAACGTACCAGATCTTACACCTTCATTTGTTTTAGAATCATCGGTGAAGACTCTAAGCTCTTTTGGGCTTAATCCCTCCGGCTGGCTGGTTTCATTTAATTGTATCTTATACTTCTTATTGAATACAAATTGTTTTGGGATCTAATCGTACTTGGCTTCTTATACTGTGATATACTTTCGTCTATCGAAACATTAAGAATTTTGTGACATTTCCTGGTTGCCTCTTACTTCACCCACTGGATGACATTGGGCGATTGATTCTCTTATGCTACTACTAAGCTTATTTCATTAACATTCATGCAATTTGTTGTAATATGTCACATATAAATGGAATTAAAGTGTCTGTTATATTGAAATAACTGGCTTCTATTTAGCTCATGGGGTTTTTTTAGCTTTCGTCTGTCTGTTCTAATCTAATCTTGGGAATGGCTGGAACCATTGTGATGAAGCTTTACAAACAGATACAGAGTAATAATGCCAGGAGTATTTTTCGAAAAAATCTAAAATTTTATGAAATAAATGATTTTTGATTATCATTAATATAGCTAATAAATTAGTATTAGTATTACTTTTATACCAATATTGGTGTAAAATTTTTGTTAATCTGTACAAGAACATGGTGTATAGGTGAATGGCGATTATTGGTAATATTGAGAAATAGTTAAAAAAAAAAAAACTGCAAATATATAGACTTTGTTAAACAAAGTCTCAGACTGGGGTCGACTAAATCTAGTCCAGTTCAATCCCCAGAAGACACAAGTTTGCGCGTTTACCGCTAAAAAGAACCCCTTTGTCGTATCTCCTCAGTTTCAAGGCACTCCCCTTCTTGCCTCAGCCAGTATCGGTATCCTCGGTGTCGACATATCGAGTGACGTGCAATTTCGTGGTCACTTGGAAGAGTAGGCCAAATTGGCCTTTAAAAAGCTTGGCGTGCTCAGCAGAGCGGGACAGTATTTCATGCCGGCACACCGCTTGCAACTTTACAAGGCGCAGGTTCGGCTTCACATGGAATACTGTTCCCATCTCTGCGCAGGGGCTCCCCAGTGCCAGCTCTTTCCACTTGACCGCATCCAGCGCAGAGCGGTTCGAATCGTCGACGACCGAGTTCTTTCCGATCGGCTTGACTCACTGGCACTGCGTAGAGATGTTGCATCGCTTTGCGTATTTTATCGCATCTATCACGGGGAGTGCTCTGAGGAATTGTTCGGACTAATTCTAGCTGCTCAATTTCACCCGCACATCGCGACAAAACTCGCGATACCATCTGGATGATTGGCGGTCCACCACTGTGCGATTTAGAAGAAGTTTTCTTCCTCGTACAACTTCCTTGTGGAATCGATTACCACCAGCGATTTTTCCGGACCGATACGATTTAGGGACCTTCAAGAAAAGAGCCTACTCCTTTTTAAAAGGCCGGCAACGCATCTGCAATTCCCCTGGTGTTGCAGTTGTTCATGGGCGGCGGTAGTCACTTACCATCAGGTGAGCTGCATGCTCGTTTGCCCCCTCTCCTATATAAAAAAAAACAACTAGTAAACAATAGGAAATATATAGATCTGCAGTAACTGCACTTTGATTTGTACAGCATATAATTAATAAAATAAACTGTTTGTCAATATCTACACCTTTCAAAATTATGAGGTAACCATCTGTTTCCTTGACTGTTTTTTTAACTATTATAAGCCAGTGCTTAAGTGTTAAGTGGTGCAGGTGAATATGGTAACCGTCTAAGCTTAACAAAAGCCTATTCACTCTGTCTTGAAGATACTATCTTAATGTAATTAGATGGAAAGACAGATGCTGGTCAATTATTTTACTCCTTTGCTGTATGCATTCTGAATGGGGATACAAATTCAAAAAACAAGAAATTATAATGTTGCTTATGTCGACAACAAAGGGGTGGAGACCAGCGGAGTTTCTGGTGGTATAATTATGGAAGAGAGGGAGAAGTTAAGTCTGAAATTCCTGCACAACTCTTCAAAATGTGCACTGTAAAACATGATTTTCTTCGTTTCTCCATTTTAGTTGACACACCCTTTTTTGGGATGTCATTGAGATATAGGAATTTCAATGATGATAATATGTGTGCATAAAGTTGTTATACTAGGTCTGAATAGTGGTATCAAAAAGGTTTTATCATCAAAAGCCAAATGAACTCTTTCACCAAAGCATATCTTTGTTGTAGACAAAGACCACGATAAAATTCCTAATAAATTATGGAGCAGAAATTTCGTCATGTTCACTTTGTCAAAATATGACAAAAGAATTTTATACACTTTGTCAGGTATTCAACAGAATTGTTACTTTGGCTAGTTCTGAGCTTTCAGTGTCACCATATTAACAACTTAATATCCACGTGTTAATCTCACCTGAACATGGTGCACCCTGCTGTTTGACAGATAAGGTTTTCATAACAGATTTATAGGGACCAGCTTTAAAAGTAAGAGAGTTCTACACTTATCAATCACACTGCCATGGGTATATTAATCAAGAATTGCATTGACCCATTCTTTTAAAGGACTGTGTTCTCAGAAGTGGACTTTAAAAATAGCTGATGAATTACTTCATACATATATCATTCGATATCTTTGTGTAACCATACATACAGTTTTGGCATTGATATTAAGTGTAAAGTGTCACATTAAGGATTTTAAATATGACCAAAAGCCCATAATGTTATAGTTTCTGATTACAGTTTTGAACAAAGCTGGAGTATTGCCAATACAGGAGCAGAAGCGTGGCCTGGAAGCTGTAGACTAATACAAGCGGGAGGAGAACAATTCAGTGCTACACCAACCTATGTTCCTCCTTTGCTGCCAGGACATTCTACTACTGTTACATTGAAGTTAACTGCTCCTAGTGTGCCTGGTGCTCATAGAGGTTATTTTCATTTAGTGACAGACAAAGGTGAACAAATAGGAGGTAATCGCATTCTTAGTAACTCATATTATTACTTACAATTTATTAATACAATACTTACATTAATATAATTTATCAAACCAGGTTTTGTACAACATGTATTTTGTTCTTATAATCAAACATGTTTGTGTATGAAGTAATTATGACCTTTATACATCCTACTGGTGGTATAGGTTTCATCTCGTTGAGTGTTATGAAGCAATTTGTCCGCCGTGTGTGTTGGCAGTCTTGCAGGTATTGCTGCAAATTCGTTGCATTTGGCCATCGCTGTTCTGTATATTTTACGTCAGGTGTAAACGTAATGCACCACCATCTACCAGATGTCAACATTTTTCTGGTATTTCCCATAGTCGCTTTGATACTTATGCTATGCGACAAAATGGGGTGATGTATTCTATTAAGTCAAAACCAATAAAAAACCATATATTATTAATTTTGTTACATATTATGTCATATTTCTACAAAAAAATTGTAATTTCATTAAAACCATTTACAATTTTCAGATACTTTGTGGGCTGAAATCACGGTAGAGTCAGAAATGACATTAGCACTTGCAGAACAATTGGCTGCATTGCCCGTCCCTAGTAGTAGATTGGATGAAGGTGTATCTCAGGTATGTATCTTTTTCAGCCTGTGAAAGTCCGCTGGACATGAGCCTCTCCCGCGGTAAAGATGATTTACCTTAACCGTCACCTTGGCTATTTTACACCTGGCATAACAATACGGTTATACCACTATCGGCTCGATTCACTGGCGCTGCGAAATGTTGCATCTTTTTGTGTATTTTATCGCATCTAACACGGGGAGTGTGTGGTGTGTTCGGACTAATTCCAGCCGCTCAATTTCACCATTGCACATCTCTACAAAACTCGCTATACCATCCATACCATCTGGATGATTGGCGGTCCACCACTGTGCGATTTAGAAGAAGTTCTCTTCCTCGCACAAATTCCTTGTGAAGTCAATTACCACCAGCGACCGATACGACTTAGGCACCTTCAAGAAAAGAGCCTACTCCTTTTTAAAAGGCCCGGCAACACATCTGCAATTCCTCTGGTGTAGCAGTTGTTCATGGGCGGCGTTAGTCACCATCAGGCGAGCAGCATGCTCGTTTGCACCTTGTCCTCTAAAAAAAATATATTTTGGTTTCCCATAAACGCATTTTGCGACAATCATGCAACAAAATGTGGAAATGGATTGTATTGCATTAGGTACAATAATTATTATTATTAAATAATACAACGTGGCCGCTACAATGGTGCGTTTAATTTAGTAGTAGGGCTAAATCATATTAATTTTGATAGCTAAATAATAAAAAAATAACTAAAATTGGGATCACCCTTAGCTAAAATTCATTCATGAAATAACTTGTATAGCTGGCTGACTCCTGCCAAAACGCGCGGATTTTGGTTTTTGGGTGTCCAATGATGCAGATTGTGCTGGTTCCACATGCCGTTTCTGGTGAACGTGCTTTGGTCAGTCTAACAAATTGGGGAAAGAAAGTCACTGTCCTCTTCAATTTTACTCATCAGTAACCACACAATTCACTCTTATTAATTTATCACGCGATAGGAAAGTATATACTTTTCTAAACTTGAATGGGTGCCACTTTTCGTGCTTTAATATCCTATGGACGGTTGTGTTGTGATGGACTTGAAAATACCTAGCGCTTTTGCGGTGGCTAGTTTTGGGTTGATCTTTGAAATATTGTACCATATTTTCAGTTAACTGAATTGGGTTTTGTCTCTTAGGCGGTCGATCAGGGCGACCTAGGATCCACTGGCCGGTTTTCGCGGATGCGCTGAAGAGCTCCTACAATAGAGCGAGGATTAGTCGGACATTGTCTTGAATCGCCATATCTCTTGTGATATGTCCTTATCGCAGTGTCATAATCTAATTACTATCCTAATTACACAAAATTAATAAATAAAACAATAGGTAAACGCTTTTTCGCGAAACGTTCATAAAAATATTAGTCGATGTAGTGATTAATGCGCACTACTACTGTGAAGAAGTGTGTCAACGACACAGGTTCGGCTAGCACTAGAAAAGAAAAGCAAAAAAATAATTCGATTTCGATGCGGCGGGGTGGGAAGGGCGCGCGTCGCCAGCTCCGCCCGCTCGCTGACAAAGGGATGTCTCTTTACTTCAATAGTATTGCTTATTTATTTTAATTTCAATGATGCGATGTTATGATCGTGACCCCGGCAATAACCGCTGCGCGACAGTTGCCTAAGTACAGGTTGCTCTAAGATGCCGTTTTCTAAAATTTTAAATAAATCCGTAAATAATAACGTTTAATGGAAATACAATTTCTTCATGAAACGAAAATGTGAAAACGTATATGTGTTAAATTAAAGTCACCATTGTAGCGCAACGTTGTATAAATCTAATTCAAAACTTCTTAATAACTATAAAGTAATAAAATAATTTCCACATGATATCTTCAGAAGCATTGCTTTGCCCCATTTGAGTGGACTAAACAGTAATTGTAGTTTAAATAACGAATAGAATGTCTTAAGTTCGAGTCATATTTACCGGCACCTAGCGTATCTAGTACGTAGACTGGCAAATACAGCATAGATGCAAATTTTCATATCCATCGACAGACGGCTGACAGGTTACTCACAGACACCCTCAGACATTTGTCTTCTAACGAGTGCTTACGCGGTTTTTCCAAATATTAAGTATGTTTTCGATAGAAGAACTAGTCGTAGTTACAGTTTAGCTAAAAAAGTCCCATCAATGAATACTGGTCCACACACATTACAGCAATACAGATTTTTATTCTATGAATTTATCATTATTGATGTTGCCGATTGTCATTGCGTGTATTTTGGCGTCACCATCAGACTGTTATGTACCCACACGTCTGCACAGACAAAACATTTTTAACTACAATGGTGGGCTGTGATGCGCGTCTGTGTGGACAGGCTTCGCTAATGTATGTATGTTAGATGTAAATACTCTCATAGATAATGTAAATATTAATATTTTAACGTCTGTGCTGTTACGTGTCTGCCACATATGGTTTCTGCAGATATATATATTCTGCAGAATAAATCAGTCAAGCAGCGCTTTTACTACCGATTTGTGAATACGTCACGCCAACGCGCACAACTCACTAAATTATGTATTATCTAAGAAATTGCATACCTTTTTCATTTGTTAACCGATCTAAATGTTAGCCCTCGCTTGTTTCAATACATCTCTGGAAACCACATTTAAATTGGTTCATGTATTTATATAGATATAGTTTTTTTTCTACAAAAATATGGGTGGCAAGCAAGCACATAGTCCATCCAATGTTAAGGGGATGCTGTAACCCATAGACATCTATATCTATTTTCAATTAAGAATCAAAATGCAGATGTATAGTCACCCTTGAGGACTAAGATGGAATGCCTCATTTCCACCAACAAGTGTCTGGTTCTCTACAATTACCCTATGAAACACAGCAGTATTAAGCTGCTATTTTACGCCAGAAACCGGAATACCGGTTGAAAGCTCCTAAAGCTTCACCCTTCTTCATACTGCTAGAGCAACAAAGATTATGTGGTTTAAATTTGTATTTTATCTATATACCTTTACTCTTATTATTGATATAAAATTAAATATGTATGTTTTCAGGTTTAAATTATGGTAGAAAAAAAATCATATTTTATGTTTTATTTTCCAGGTGCCATCACAAGATGATCAAATGTGTTGATAAATATTGATAAGAAGTTTTGTTTTGTAATAATAACATTGGTTATAGACATACAACCAGCATAACAAATTTAAACTGGAAAAATATATTGTAATAAAATAGCAGTAGCAATGTTTGCTTTTGTAGTCTTTAATTATATACCTGTTTAGAAGTATCGCCATTTAAAAAAAATTATAATTGACAGTATTATACTAATGCTGCAATTTAACATTTTATTGTGTACGAATACTAGAACGGGAGAATTATTAATTGTGGAAATGTGCAAAAGAAAACAAAGAAAAATGTAAAAATAAACCAAATGTAACTGAGTTTTCAACAAAATGGATTTCTGGGTGTGAATTAATAGGTACTAGTGTAATTTAAGGTATTGCCCTTCTCTGTTATTTATAAATATGATATATTATCTGCAAATTTTTGGTTTGGTTAATTTACAAATTTTATTATCAAAATCGTGTAGATGGTAAAATATTTAGTTTTGAACTATTTTTAATTTATTAATTTTGATAATATTTTTTTTTAGATCCATCATGTGTTTAACATAATGTCAGAAATAATACTAATCAGCTGGAGTATGTAGGTGGTTAGTAATATTAAAAAAGTAAGATTTTAATATTTCTGAGGTGTCGGTGTTTCAAACCTGACTTTTAGTCTAAGCAGGTATAAAATTAAAGCTTTTTAGTACATATACAAAGGTATTTTTATTTATTTGAAATAATTAGATGGGACTATTAATAATAAAATACACTGTACAAAACACTATGTAATATACAATGAAATGTTTATTGGAAGGCAATAAAACTTGTGAATTTGTTATTGTTAAAATATTATAAAATGTATAAAAATGATTATTTAGCATCACTTATTTTTAAGATTGAAATGTCATTTAGAAATTCTTGCAGTTTTATTTTGTAGTCCATAATTTAGTTAAAATTATTGGCTATAATAATTTTCATTAATAAATATTGATTTATGAACCAGGATGAATATAGGTGGTTTCTATTGGAAAATAATTCTTAAGAATTCTAAATTGTTATTTAATATTCTAGTAAGCGGAGAATATAATGAAGAAAACTTTTTACATTTCAATGTTGCAAGTACCATACCTTTTGTTGTCATACATAGTTATAAGGGAAATAAGTTAACCATGAGGCTGGATGGACAGTTATACAGAATTAACATCACTAATACTTTTATTCAATCCCTATATATGTCGTTTTTTGGATAGACTAACTTTAACATAAATGATGATGTGCAAAATATTTAAAAATTGAATGGTTTTAAATTAAATAACTTACACCGCCATTTCCATGTCAATTTTAGGATGAGGACTGTAATTTTTGATGACAAAGTCTTCATATTTAAAATCATCAATTGATTCAATTTGACGAGCAAACTCTAATGTTGGAAATGGTTTTGGATGTCTTTCTAATTGCTTCTTAAGTGGTTCAATATGATTTAAGTAGACATGAGTATCACCAGTTGTATGAATGAATTCCCCAGGCTGTTATGAAAAAAAATAATAGAATTAGCAAAAATATGTTAAGCTCACTTGAATGATTATAAATGTTATAAATCTGTTTATTAGTAATGCATGTTGCTATATTGCATTACAAATTTGTAGGAAACTAGGACTGCTATGCATGCAAATTTTTCCGTAACTAAATTCCATAATGATATTCACAATAGTCATAGTAACAGACACTAGCTAAGGCTGAAATTGGCAGCTGTAGTGGTGTTAAGCATTTTGTTTTAGAACAGCCCATAGTGCAAACTATAAATGTTTCTGTAATGGTAGTTGTATACTATCAACTGTAGGGAGACATCGACTAGAATGAGGGATATCCTCAAGGTGCAGGAAGCAGGGCTTGCATGACCGAAAAATAACGGAAGCGTTATTTTTCGGTCATGCATGCCTAATTATCAATTTATAGGTTTTGCTTCTTAGAATTTTTTCATCGTCATTGTCAAAACAATATACTTTTGGTTACACAAACAGATATTTTTGGTTACCAATATAATTTTGGTTATGTAAAGGTATAACGATACCTAAAAATACCGTTACCGTTATTTTATACCGTTAGTATATCAGTGAATTTTAACTGCTTTCGGTCTACCTTTAAAAATTTTCAATATCACTATTTTACATTGGTAGTGTAACCTCATACTTTAACGGCAATTAATCCCTGGCCGAGTGGGTGAATATAAAATAAATACAATGTCAAAAAGTAGATTACTAGCTGTTCCCCGTGACTTCGCCCGCGTGTTATTTGGGGTTTTAATTTTTTTGCACGGAACCCCAATTATTTTTCTAAAATAAAATTAGCCTAAGTAACTCCTTGTGACATCAGCTATCTACAGACACTTTAATTTTATTTATTTGTATGGATAAATTGTTTACGTATCTTATCGTACTTGGCTTGTAAAATAGGAATTTTTGAGTGAATTCTATCAATTATGCCTGCATGAGGGACTCTATTCTTACTCCAGATTTAGGGTCTTGAGTCTGATGGCAGCTAGTCGCTTCTTTTTGTATATGTAGTTGTAGCGGGGTTAGTTCCAGCATCGCTTCTAAGGCTGCTGTTTGCATAGTTCTTATGAGCCTGAGATGTGGCATTTCTACTTATAAGTGAAGCTATGAACATACCGGGGTTTGAGAGTAAAGAAAGAAAAAAGTTTATACTAAAATAAGAAACTTGAGGTCTACATATTCACGTCTATACTTGCTGTTCAAAGGCTAACTACTGATTTTACTAAACACAGCCACTAAACAGACACTGCTCACACTACACACCTGCACTAATCACTCACAATTACTAATCACCTGCACTGATACTAATCAAAGTGAATACCAGCCTTAAGCGTTTTGTCCACAAATCATCGCCCTCACTACATTGATCTTTTTAAAGTAATAGTTTAACAAAATTTCCTTAACTTCTGTCATGTATTTTAAATTCAACGTCCTATTGTTACACTTATTTTTGGAGATTTTTATTGTAAAATTTTATGGATTTACTCAAAATAGACTTGAATATAGCCAGTCTAAATTTAGGAACTCTGGCATATTACCTCAACCTGTTCTACAGCAGGCAGTCTATTTTTTAATTTATATCTTCCATGAGGTTCTCAAAAATAAACAACAAAGAAGTGTCAAAATATAAGCCTACATGAAAAGGTCAAGTAGCAACTTGGTCCTAAGTAATATATTGCCTATATTGCTTACTTTTGCAAGATAATGATTTTGCATTGCTAGACATAGCTCTCATAAAATACAGTGGAATTCTAAATATCCTATTAATAATTTAATGCTTCAAGCCTTTAAAGAAAAGTAGACATTAAAAGTTAATATTTGAATATACAAAATATTACCTGTAAGCCTGTGATGTGTGCTATCATGTGTGTCAACAGAGAATAACTTGCAATGTTAAATGGTACACCAAGGCCCATGTCTGCACTTCTTTGATACATTAGGCATGACAGTTTTCCATTAGCAACATGAAATTGAACAAGACAATGGCAAGGAGGAAGGGCCATTTTCTTTAGATCCGATGGATTCCATGCACACATTATCATTCTCCTATCAGCTGGATTATTTCTGAAAAACATATTGAATTAATTTTACACTAAATTTTGTGGGAATTTTATAAGGAAGGTTTAGCATCTGAAAAAAATTGCAGCTGCTGTACTATGGGGGGACTGCAAGATAAATTTTGCTTTAATTGTGTAGTCAAAGTGTCTTTATTTAAGGGATGTCTTACTCTCATCCATTCTATCTTCGTAAATACACTGTTCGACTTGAGGCGCTCCTGTTAGGGAGGATTTGCTTTAATCACAAAACTTGGTAGGCAGATTGGAGATCCCAGTACTAGATGCTTTTCCCTGTAGCTGATCTGGTGTTTCCCATAGTTGCCTCTTAAGATACTTATGGGACAAAATAGGGTGGTGAATATTGTTACAAATTATAATATATTGTATGGTACATATAACACAGAATTTAAATTAAACATAACACCCACAATCAAATATATTATGTGGGATAAAAGTGTATTTCTACCATGTACTTTAACATACATCACATACAGCAAATATCAATTATTTTAACATTGATTCAGATTGCTCTCACTTAACCTAATGTGGTGAGATCATAGTGTTTATTAGTATGGCCCCTAGAAAAACCATATTGAAATATATAGTAAACAAGAGAAGAAGTGCCTTTTTCAAGCTCATAAGCCTGCTTAAAAACAGTCCATGGTGTCTAGCTGTTATCAGAACACCTTTCTAATTTGTTGCTGGTCTGGATGTCTTACATTTGTCTGGTATAAATATGGTAGAAGGCCATATGATTGTCAGGAGATAGTCATCTATGCATGGAATCAAATGGAGTGCTGGCCTGCAATGCTGCCACTACATGGTGTGAGAGCTTTACTGTAGTTACAAGAAAAAAATCTCTCATAACTTCCCAACATATCCCAGTATATACTACACTTATCTGCAAGTTTGATTACGACTTACTTAATTGTGTTTATAACATTTTGTAGCTGATCAATTCCTTGATTACTGTAGTCAGTCTTTGCATCTATATATTTGGCCCCACTGTGCCTCCATTGGAAACCATATACAGGGCCAAGGTCACCTACAAAAATCAAATTATATTAAAAAGTAAAAACCATTCAATTAAATAAATTTTATGAGAAGGTTTTTGGTAATTATTTATTAATCCATTATAAGGAAAAGAAAGTTACAGTCTATATCAGCAGTTCCCAAACTTTTAAGGTAATGAAACACATACCAAATCCCTTTTATTTTATGAAACCCCACATCAAATGATTACATATCATAGACATTGCAATTGAAATATAATATAATTCTCACTAACTACCTACATATCTATATTACAGTAATGAGTTCTTCTCATCAGATATTTTGTGCCAATTCAAAATAATATTTGTAGAACCTTGGTGACTTTTCCACTGAACCAACTAGGAATCTCTGGTCTATATAATATGTCCCTCTGTTGAACATGTTGTGGGTGTAAGGGTTATGGAGCAATTTGTCTGCTGCAATGCTACAATGTATTGGCAAACTTCACATGATGACTCAAAATACTTTTATGCCTTAGAGAAGAAAATCAGCACTCAAAATTGCAATAATCTATTTCATTGGTGCCAACAGGGATTAAACCCCGGTTAATATACTGTAATATTAGTGTAAGTGCTAAGCCCCTTAGATACCATGACTCCTGTTACCATAAAGGCATAACAAAAGTCCACATAAAGCCTTTTCTAAATATAGGTCTAACAGGACAGGTAGGTAGGGTTAGCAACTACAATTTTTTTATTTTTATAGTTGTTATTAGCTAGACACTGCTCCCCCCATCTGTTGACCCTCTGTCGCCTCTTACGACATTCACAGGGCGATATGGGGTAGTGGATATTATGACACTGCCACCACACATTTTATAAACACCATAACTACATTTTATATAAAATAAGATTTTATGGGTGATTATTTTCAAACCATAAAATTATGTTTTAATATATGTCACAGAAAAGATATCTATAAGATTAATTGGGAGTACCTTCTTCACGATCAGTAAAACCTAGATTATCAAGAAACATCCGAGAACCATTTGCATCCCAAATATGTACTCCTTTTTCGGCAAGAGCGTTGCTGTTTGTAGAACCCGAAATCATCCATAACAATTCTTCGATTACTCCTCTTGTGAATACGCGTTTGGTAGTTAAAAGTGGCAAAGTATTATTTTGAAGAGAGTATCTTTGCATTGCACCAAATATCGATAAAGTGCCCACACCTGTTCTATCAACCCTTTTATCACCTGTAAGCAATTGCATTACAAAAATTTGGTATCAAAAATATTTTTCTGTAATTTTTTAATATTTGAACTAAGCTCATGCCTACCCTTTTCGATTATTTGCCTAATAAGGTTAAGGTATTGATATTCTTCATGTTTTACGTCTACACCGTTGTTTTCCATTGTTAACAAAAAATATGTCGTATGAGTTTAAACCAAAATAAACTTATTTCGCAAGCATCGAGCACACAATGTAGTAAAAGTAAATACAAGTAGCAAGTACCTAGTCTAGTCTTTGCTTTTTGGCGCCAAATCAACGTTGACAGTGTCATTGTTACTGTCACTGAATTAAGATAAGAATTTTTTTTGGTAATAGACTCGTACGATTATACTTTTGCCTGTGTAATGTAATTCTATGGTAATAAGAAACTATTTTTTATTTTAATACAGTGTTAAAAAAACTTCTCCACAATCTGTTTTATGTCATATTAGGAAATTATTGTGAGATTTTTACAGCATCTTGAGCTAGCAGACAGTTGATAACGGTATTATCCTATATAGTGTATCTCAAAGATGTTTTATAGGTCCAGATACCGTGTACGCGCGCCTAAAACGCTTCCATTTCAAAGGCGCCAATATTGGCGTATTCGTTCGATCGTTCCGCCATTACGCCAGCGACGTTCGCTGTGAACATACGTCACGCATCGGTGTTTTTAATTTCGCAAAATGACTGTTTATGCTGTGAAATCATTTAAAAATTACTCTTGGAAAAAAGATAAGGATAAGAACATCACTTTTCATAAGTAACTATACTATTTTATGGTGTATTTCTTTGTAAAATAATACGAAAGCTAAATGTTAATACAAGTAATAATACTGCGCAATAATATTCGAGTGTTGCCTAGTCTATGAAATGTTTTTACCATTTTTTAATGTCATGATCAACCACAAAGGTAATCTGTATAGGGGTTTTAAACAGTCTAATTTTACAGATTTTACCCAACCTATAGAGTTAAACCGTTTTAAGGCTTAGGGTTGAACTACATCTGGCAGCATGAAATTGCACTTTCCTGTGCTTCTATCCTTTTTGGTCACTCAGAACCGTTATAGTAGTAACCGGTATAGTTCCACCCTCAAAAAGCCGATTGTAAACCGGTTTTAAATGTGTATCTATCATTCTTGACAATTCATACTAATATAATATTATAAATGTGAAAGTGTGATTTTTTTGTTTATTTGTTTTTGTCCTTCCTTCACGCAGCAACGGAACGGAACAATTTAAAAAAATTAAACATTTTGCTATATCTTGGCTGAAGTTCACGCTTAACCAAACTTACTTTTTTTCGTCATTTTACTTAGGATTGAAAAATAATTTAATGTCTTCGTAAAAAGCGGCAATATTTTGTGTTCTACAGTACAAAAGTGTAGTACTCTGTATATATTTAGTAATAATAGATTATAAATATATGTTACATACATAAATATCTACTGTGTTTTTTATTTATTTTAACTGTTACATTAATTATAGGTTTTATTACATATCTTCAATATTTTAGTGCGATGTTCGTACTTACATAAAACACACATAAGCAACCATATCCCCATACACGCACACACATTTTATACTCTTAGAATCAATAGGTACGTCAATAGGAATGAAATATAAAATCTCCCACATTTTTTGGGTAATCGATTCGCACTGTTATTACCGAAGTCACGCACATTAATGCAGCCATGGTGCGTAAAATATACGCGTCACGTGGTACTCAAGCACACATGAATCAAAGACTGTCTTCACTATGAATGTTGCGGTGTGTTAGCAACACGGTATCTGGACCTACAAAACATCTTTGGTGTATCTATGGTATTATCTCAAGGCCTACGTCCGCCATACACGATCAAGTTTACCGTCAAGTTTGCAGCGCACTTGAAGCGGCGTCCGGTAAACTTGACGGTGTATGGCTAGCTATGTACATGACAAGTCTACTTGAAGCGAAAATTGAATTTCGATTCTCCCGACTTGATCAAGCTTGCAGCGTCATGTAAACTTGAACGTGTGTATGAGCGGTCAAGTAAGGTATGTTGGGGTAATACCGGACGGATTTTCGAATAGTTGGAAGAGTCTGCCAAAAACTTTAATTTCTCGACATTCGTATACGTCAGATTTATGGAACATGGAGCAAACCGTTAATCGTTAAACGTAGTTTAGCTCTGAGAATCTTTTGCTTGTGTAAACTCAACGGTTTCTGCTTTAAAGGTGTGCGAAAACTAGACATACTTTTTTATATGCATAATGAAAAATTGGCCATTAAGGGGTAAGACCGGACTTAAATTTAAAACCACTTCTACTGCTCAGATAAAAAAGTTTATAAAAGAGATTTGTCCTATCTTTAACGCTCAAAAACATATTTCAATATGATCTATAAATTACTAGAAACATAAATGTTCCAAACGATTTTCTCTTTTTTTGTTTCTTGCCATCCGATCTTATCCCTGATATAAAGAAATTGTAATTTTATGTCTCTCAAACTTTGTTATGACATAAGATGGAATTACTCAATATAAGAGAAAGATCGGATGCATTTGATTTTATATGGGAAAAAAAATAACAGTAAGGACTGGCTAAATGCCCTGGGATAATGCAGGAGTTAAGGAAGATATAAATATTTTAACAAAGCGGCATTTATTATTATAAATTATTTTTTAAATAATTATTATAAATTACATTTTGATTTGTAATAGAGGATAGATATAGATGTCTATGGGCCGCAGCAATCACTTAACATCAGGTGGACTGTGTGCTCCTTTGTCACCCTTATCCTATAAAAAAATGTATTTTAATGTGTACTTAAAAGTAATAAAACCATCGTATTGTTTTATTACTTTTAAATATACAGACTTGCTAACGAGACTGAGTCCCATTGTCACTTGAGTAATCAACGAAAAAATATACACGACCAATGAAAGTTTAACAACCACTGCCATATTTGTAACAGGCAAAGATCGGATAATTATTCATCCGATTTTCACTCACGAGGGGAAACATCGGATCTCGGCCTACAGCGATCTTACCCCTGCATGGACCAGCTTTATTTAGCTATAACTTCATAAAAATTAGTATCCACACAAAATAATAACAAAAGAAGCCATATTCTCGCTAAAAATCGTAAATAAAAGTGATAGGGAAAGATCGGATGGACAAAAATAATACAAAAATTACATTGTTTTATAAAATGCCACGCAGCACAGGTCCCACTTGCCGGAGTGACTGGCGCGAACTGAGGGTCGGGGCAGGATGAAATGGCGTCGTGTAGCATATTGTTAGCTTTTCAAAATATAGCATCATAAAAATTAGTATCCACACAAAATAATAACAAAAGAAGCCATATTCTCGCTAAAAATCGTAAATAAAAGTGATAGGGAAAGATCGGATGGACAAAAATAATACAAAAATTACATTGTTTTATAAAATGCCACGCAGCACAGGTCCCACTTGCCGGAGTGACTGGCGCTTTCAGTATATACACTCTTATCTATGACTGGCGCGAACTGAGGGTCGGGGCAGGATGAAATGGCGTCGTGTAGCATATTGTTAGCTTTTCAAAATATAGCATAATTCGCCGGGAATTTGAATCCTACGGTCTTGCCCCATCACCGATCTTACCCCAACGTACCTTATGCATGACGTTAGTCGGCTTCGGCAAAAAGTATAGTAATATATAAGGAAGGGCTTCGGCAAGCGAAGACGCGCGCATGCGGTATATAGTAATGCAATACACCGAGGTGTTATGCAATGTATTAATATTTTTTTAAACAAAAAACGTTGCCTCCACACTAGGATTTTCTCTTGTATCGTGGAGGCAGTTAACAAACATAACTTGCACAAGGACAAACATCTAGACCCGAAACAATTATTTGTAGGCCATACAAATACTTGTTCCGTGCGGGATTCGAACCCGCGTCCCCAGCGTTGCAACTCATTGCTAAGCCAAAACTTTATTGTTCAATGTGAGGAAGGTTAATATGAAACAATGAGGAAAATTAATATTATAACAACGTGAACGTGTTTGAAACTCAGATAATTTACCTACTTACCATTTTAACCGACTTCAAAAAAAGGAGGTACAATTCGACTGTATTTTTTAATGTGTGTTACCTCAGAATTTTTTTCTAGGTGAATCGATTTTGATGATTCTATTTTATTTGAAAGCTGGTGCTTATAATTTAAACACCCCATATAAATTTGATCAAGATCTGACTAGTAGTTTTGGAATTATCCTTAATAATGCGTATTTGTATTGAAGTCGGTTGTACAAAATTTTTAATTTCATTAGTTGTCTCTCTACCTCTCTTTTTAAAAAACGTTACCTCCACACTATGATTATATCCTGTATCGTAGGGACAGTTTACATACATAGAAAAGACCCAGAACAATTATTTGTAGGCCATACAAATACTTGTTCCGTCCGGGGTTCGAACCCGCGGCCCTTAGCGCTGCTACTTATTACTAAACCACTGCGCCATGGAGCCGTCACTTGTTTGTTTCACATTATTTGCTATTTACTATTGGGATCTCAGATCATAGAAACAACATAGAAACAACTGTTTTTTATATGATCTGAGATTGGGATAATTTTTTTCGTTTCATTAATCAGTTTTTGCACTTTTGTTTTTGTTTTCTAAATTGCGAGCAATAAGCCTAGGATGGCTAACGCATCGTCGTCTGTCACTAGTGACGCCATGGTTTCAACTGATGCGGCATCATGCAAACTTGACGGCGAAATTGAACGTGAGTGGTCTATATATATGGATGCACTGCAAACTGGACGCCGCTTCAAGCGCGCTGCAAACTTGACGGTAAACTTGATCGTGTATGGCATCCAGCAAATTAGGCACATAAGCAAAGAAACTGTACAGAGGTAAAGCTTCTAAGGAGCTGTCAAAATTTTTACCTATTTTGGTAAGGTTGGCACAAGAGGATGAAACTAAATGAATAAATAAACAAAACGCTTAACAGCATTTTAATAGATACTTATGATATAATTTTTTTTATAAACTACGTATTCTAAATGTTTATTTTGTTTAACTCTGCACTAGGTAGATTTACCAATAAATAGAACACCTTGCTTGCTTTCGAATAACTGCTTTATTTCTGATTATTCAAAGTACTCTGTGCTCCTTTA